TTTTTTTTGGAAAAATGAAAATTTATCGAGATATATATATTATACAGAATAAAATGACGATACATAGGATCGCTTGGTCGAAAATAGCGCAAACCAATAATCGTTGCCCGTCATTATCAAACTTTTAAAATCATTTTAGGAAGTTTCTTTCAAGGGCAGAGCAGAATTTTGTCCCCTTTTGAACTTACTTTTGACGCACTTTTGAAATTTTGACATATAGCGAAAACTGTTTCAAAACTTTAAAACTTAAACGTGTTTTTCTGGAAACCGTGTTTTTGAACATGGTAATCACGATTCCAAAAAAGTTACTAGTCCGATTGACTTCTACTTGTACAATTATATTCAGAAAACATGTCATTATCATCTGAACCGAGAATTAATAGTCCACGTTAATTTTTTTTACTTTTGGGAGGCCAAAACAGAGAAAAAAAAATGAATAAAGTTTGAACTATTTTTTCAAACTGCTGTCATTTTGTATGCATGCGATATCAATTATCCTTCAGACGAGAATCACTAGTTTACCCATTAAGGAAAAGCCATTTTTTATTTACAGACCAACGACATGACTTCTACTATGATCACCGTTTTGATCGCGGTGCAGACTTGTATAACTTCGGCACCATATTGTACTGCCTTGTAAAAGATTTTAAAAAATATATTTTTTATAAGTATGTTGTACGTACTTTATAAATCTGTATCATTTTTAAATGTATGAATTTTTATTTATAAAAATTCCTAAAAATATCTTTGAAATCGGCTCTCTAGACCAGAATATCCTCTTAATTAATTAAAATCAAACTATATATATATATACAAATCTATACTTTTATGTAACGTCCCCGTAATTAAATTTTCATTGTATTTGTAACATTTCGTAGTTTTTTAAACTTGCTGTCATAATGCCATTTTATTTGCTTCAGGCATTTAAATTGCCGAAAGGGGCCGGTGTTTATAGTTCTACTTTACGTTCTATGAAATGTCACGTACCTAATTAGTAGAAATTGATTACGATACGTCTGCTACATTGTTGCGCAACTTATCTATACAGTAATCATAGTCGTAACACTAAGCGAGTAGAGAAGAGACGTCCTTATATATAGATGATGTACAACTATAACGTGCTACACTTGGGTCTGGTCACGAAACACATGTTGCTTCGAAATATTTACATTCGTATCATCAATCATGCAATATTCCACGTACATATGTATATTCCAGAGACGACATTGCTCGTAACAGGAACATTGTGCATTATACGTCGTGATATTATTCCGCTTTAACGCACGCACGTGCACATATGCGGCGCACGCTATTATATGTTAGAACGTTCCTCGCTGTTCCTTCGCAAGTTAAGAGACAAGCCATTACCGCACCACTGTGCTATTTCTCCGTTTAAACTATCGAAAATCGCTAGCAAGATTTTCATACGAGATATCGTACATACGTACGCGATGATGTTCCGTGTCTCTTTGGCCCCACGAGAGAGAGCGAGAGATTACCGTATTTTCCGACCTCGTGTGTACTCCCTTCTCTTAACCCGTGCACGCTCCGCGGCAATGTGTCGCAAAGACTGTCGCGCGGTAGCGGAGAATGTGTGTGTGTGTGTGTGAGAGAGAGAGAGAGAGAAAGAGAGAGAAAAGGAGAGAGAGAGAGAGAGAGCGACGGTTGCCGAATGTCGCCGAACGACGCACGGCGCGCGGCGGGCGGGAGGGAGAAGACGGAAGGACGGAACGTGCGAGCGAGAGAGGGGATCCGCGAGCGTAGACTGCTTCGCTCAGTCCTCGTCCGTCCGCCAGCCGGCGATCTTCCGTACATACAATCGACAGCTCTCGCGCGCGCCTTCGCGACACCGCTCCGAGAATCGGAGCACGCTGGGTAGCTTCCTCTCCTCGTCCTGCCACGTGATCGCGTCTCGATAATCGAAAATTGACTGAATCGTAGATTCGCGTCGCGTCGCGTTGCTCCAGTCCTGTCGTTTTTTCGCGACAGAACTCGCGTGGCAGCGTGGAAGCCTGCGCCTGTCGCGCTTTTATTATACGGCCGCCATTTCTGTTTTCCGGGACCGTTTGGATTTCCCGCAACAGTGCCTCGCGGGAATTGATGGCTACGACAGCTACGAAGACCGGCGGAAGACCAGCGGGGCAGATGGAGAAGGGGAGGGAGAGAGAAAGAGCCGCAGGAAGACGTCGTGACAGCCAGCTGTCATTGAAAACGCCACCGAGTAGAGGTACGTGTCCGCATATCGTGCTATTAGCGAAACGGAAAAATGTCTACTGCGACGGAAAGCGCGCGTGATACGCGAATGCGATTCGTTCGTGAAATGTGCTCGCCGGAATTCCGTCACTACCCTTTCCGTTACTCGACACCGCAGGAAATTGATGAATCGCCGGCGAACGGGCGTACCGAGCGAGCCATAGCCGCGCGAGTGTCACACAGGCGCGACTTATTTTTCATTTCGATAGATTCAAACAGTAATGTGGGCGAAACGCAGTAAAATGCATAAAAAGTGAGATATATTGTGCCAATTGTCACAAGAATGTTATTGTAACGAATAACGAAAATTTTGACGTAGAAAAAATTGTTGGAATTACATTCATTTATAGGCTTAAGAATCGCATTTAAACAAAATGATTTTTAATACTTATATTTTAAGGGTACCGTTACACATAATTGGCGCAAACATTAACAAATAACCGTATTTTTTTTTAATTTTAATACATTTCTATTCCTTCTACATTCGCTATTTGCTTTATTCGCTCGATGGTTTGTACGCGTCTATATGGTCATATGGACATTGTTTAAATTCACGCTAAGCTTATCCTAAACAAAGAGACTAATAGAATTTATTGATTCCATTATACGGTCAATTATACATGATCGCTACGGACAACGAAGGATAACGAAAATGTACACGTATACGATGATTTGTACATGCATCATCGAACAGAAAACAATAGCGTGCGACACGTCACGAAACTAAATGGCGTTGACAGTCGCACGAGCTGATCTTGCACGATCTTATAGCTTTGAAAATCGTTTCGTCTGAGTCTAAGTAGATAACACGTATGTGCGAATTGCGACTCTTGTTCGCACTAGTTCGCTCGCGGAACCGTGTATAGTCGCGTTGAATCTCTCTCGACGAATTGGTTCTCTCGCGCGACTTTTATATATCTCGCGTTAGGTAGAAACGCGTAAAGGAAAAAACTTGGGGATGCACGGAAAAAGCGGCGACTTTCCGTGCATCCCCAAGTTTTACGCGATATTCAACCGACCTTTTCCACTTGTATATTAGATGATATCTTGAAAGGAGAACCTTACTCAGAAAAAAGCCAATGCTCATACGCACATATTTACATATTATTTACATTAAATATATATTTCTTTTTATTTTATATGTTATGTATGTATATTTTTCTATTTTGTTACATTAATATTTTGGAACATTTTTTGTACGTAATATTACAATTTAAAAAAAAAACAGGTAAATTAATAACAGATTATATTTCAGTTGTATATATACAGACTATTAGAATGTCAAAGCGAATTTTGACGATGCTCGATGAATTTGATTTATAAGGGCTATGTAGGTCAAGGATCGAGAATTCTTATCGCGGAATCGAACTATACTTTGTACACTCGTAAATCATACGTGTGTAAATGGGAATTACTAATAAGCGTGTATACGTACGTAAGCGCGTGCAATCGAAGAAAGGACTGAAGTATAGGTAGCGAATGTAGAAGGAATAGAAATTGTTTATTAAGATTCGAAGAATACGGTTATTTGCTAATGCGCCAATTACAAGGCGGTTTACCGATTACTAGTGTAGTTAGGTATAGGTAAATCACTAGACAAGTCTTGCTTGTAGTGGCTTTTTTGCATAACTAGGCTCTTTTGTCAGCAGCAAGTAAGCGCAATCCGCAGCGAACTGCATTAGTTATGATAACGTTTTATTACTTCCTACACCTTCAGTATATAAGGGCAGACTCGTGGAAATGGCAAGTCGATTTTAATTTACATTTCGACGAATTTAAAAGGATTTAGAGTGGGAAAGCCAGTCTAAATAAGCCTTGGTCAATGATTTTTATGTAAATTGAAAGGTATTTCTAATCCGGTAGTTACTCGAAATTTAAAGAAACACTTGTCGAACTTAAAGGAGGATTTAGCGAATGGAATTTCTCCATACTGTTGCTTCATTTTTCGCGTTTGTCTTAATTTACTTTAAGTGGCAGGGAGGGGAAGGGATGTAGTCGAAAACGGGGCAAGTCCGGCGGGAGGGCACGCCGGATCCGCGCGCGGAGAGCGGCGATTACGGCGAACGTGCCTTTATTTAGACGGGCAGCCGTCGATCGAACAGTAGTTTCCGATGTTCCTCGAGCGAGGAGAATTAACAACTCGACATTCAAGCGTCCGTGAAGAACGAGCGATGAGATCGAAGAGGTGAACGCACTGGCGCGAAATTTACGTCAGACGTGCGCGTGTGTGCGATACGCACGTGCGCGCTCGTTCGCTCGCCCGTCCGCGCCCGCCTGCTCGCTCGCGCGCTCGCACGCGCGGCGGTGTGCGTGCGTAAGATCGTTTGATCTTTACGAATGGCGCGCGAGTAAATCCGCGTATTATTAAATAGATAACGACCATAAATTCGGCCGGGTTACATAAAGACGCGCAAAAGTGCGCGTTAAGGTCCGACCGTTCTATTTTTGTGCCGGCGACTGGGGCGCGTTCTAGGACAGTGGCTCTCAATCGCATTCCCCGTTGGAGGCGGAAGTCCGGTGCTTGCGCCTACTTCACTACTGGCTGTCGTTCGACGAGCGATCCGCACTCGTGCGTAAGATCGCACCGTGGAATTTAAAGAATCAGGGATTAGTACAGATTAGCGGATAATTGAATCGAATATTGTTCAATTAGTATCCTCAATCCTCATTTAAAGTAACAGTTGATGATCTTTCAGCCTGCTAAATATTTAAAAATTTGCGAAGGGAGGAATGTACGATTCTTATCGTATATTTAAAATTCTTACAGATTACGCGGTATTTTGATACTAATAATTGAATAATGTATGTCAGTGTTATGTAATTAGTTTACGCATGTTGCTCAGTGAATCAGTCCACGGAATTTGTACAACATCGTTAAGAAAACTTTCAGACACCAAACTTTCGACAAATCGAAACGTACAATATTTACATAACAATATCTCTTTATATTTTAATTGTATGTACATAATTGCAATATTATTATTATTATCATTATATATGTATAATCTCATCTTCACAATAAGACATATTAAATTGGCAAGTGTTCTTTATGACGAATGAGTAGCTTTCAGCGATTATGGATAGAACTATGGCGAAATCTTTTAACTCGATTTTTTTTGTGGATTACCAACAAAATATCAACGGAGCGATAATGCGATGCGATCGCTCCTGAAACGCACGCGGTATCGTGCGTATACGTATAGCCTCGGATCGTGCGTACGTAAAAGTCACAGGTCGTTTCCGCGGCACGATAAGAACGCCCGATTAAGAGAGCCACTGAATGAGAAGGGTACGGAATAATACGCGTGTTCGCGCCGTTATCGTCGCTCCGCTAGGCGTCTCTGTTTGCTTTTTATCAAACGTCGCGCGCGATAATTTCTTCTCCAAATTGCGAGAGCCACGGCCGAGTGACTACGCGTTTTTTCTCTACGCACTCACGCGCGCACAGATGCGATCGCGCGCGTCTATTCTTTCTCGCTTCTGCCGTGACACAGCGGATTGATTGCCAATCTGACGTACGCGTACGGGAATGATTTATTATTGGTACCGAATCTGATTTGAATAACTTAGACGAGCAAATAATTATTATAAGACATTCCGAAACGGTATTGCTAGACGATTCAGTATCCGTAATTGAAAAGCAAGCTATGTTCAACCATAAGGAAAATCGTTGAAGGAGATAGGAAGAAAGAGGGAGGGGGGGGGAGGGAGGTAGGAGGAAGAGAGAGGTATAATATCATGTTCCAAAAGAGGTAGATATCTGCGTCGAAGAAGAATGCACACAGACGCGCAAGAAATAGCTCGCGCGCGCACGCGTAAAACGAGTCTAGGATTCATCTCTCTTCCTCTCTTTCTCGTCATACAGATTTTTCCGCGGCGCCACATTATTGGCGAACGTCCAACCGAGGCGGTAGCCCCGTGCCTCGTCTATTTTCGTTGATTCCGATCTTCCTGAAAAGCTAGTCCCAGCGAACGGGTCGCCACTCGCCCTCGATGCTCCTTCCGCCAATGGCATTTAAGCGAAAACGCCGCCGCCGCCGCCGCCTTGGCGGCCGCGGCGCGATTAATGCCGCTATAAAGATGACGATAATCGTGACGAATCGGCGTCGTACATAACGAATGCCGCGGATAATAAAGAAAGACAATACTCTGCGCCAGGCGTATCTATCTCGCCTAATTCCGATAGTTGAAAACTGTCGCGGTACTATACGATACTTCTCGCTGTACATATTCGCGATAAAAGCTTTTTAAAGGCAGAACGAGTTGCGCGTTATATGTGCCCGCGCGTACGAATGGCAAGCGGAATATAATAAATCGCCATATTTATGTCCTACTAATATTTGCTAAATGTCATTAAAATGGTACCGGCTGTAAATATTGCCTCCTATAAGAAGAGAATTCAATAAATTCCAACGATATTCATTATGACGTCAATTATGCGACTTCGAACTATTCGAATAACTCAGATTATCTTGATTATGTCAGCATTTGTGTCAGTAAAATTAAATGCTTTCAACTGATTTTTACTAAACATTTTGTTTATTTAGTCAAGTATATGGACATTTTTATATTCTTAAAAAATTTGATTTGATCATCAACATATTTAACATAAATTAAAAGAATTTATCGTAAGAAATTCTAAATTTATCATGAATTTGATGAGATATCGTTAATTTGAAACCACGTATCGTATGTGGTTTTAGTTTATCATGAATTTGACGAGATATCGGTAATTTAAAACCACATATCGTATGTAATTTTAGGAATAATTTTTCGAGACGCGATCGGTTCTATCCGGTGCATCTCTAATTCGTTTACTCGTATTCGTGTAACCAAATCCGGAATCACAAATTTTAATTTATAGTTAAGCAATGGTGATTCAGGAAAGAGAAGGAGAGAAAAGAGGAGTACAAGAAAAAAAAAGATTGAAGGAAATATTCTCGTCGGGAGGGGCGCTAGCTAGTCTGCAGCCAGTCTGAGAATCGACGTCTTTAATTCGCATATGTGACTCAAGCGTCTTCTCTTTCCTGTTTTCTCTCTCTCTCTCTCTCTCTCTCTCTGTCCCTTTCTATCTTTCTGTTTACTTGTCCATCTATCTATTTGAATTTTAAAGTATTTTTAGAAAGCTGTCGGATGTCTCTCTGTCTTTCCTTCTCTCTACTTATCGATCTTCACAATTTTTTTTCTTGTTTATTTGAATAATTATAATTAAATTATAATTGAATTGTGCGATTATAATATGATGCGACATCAAATCTAAAGGGATTTTATCCCGCGATTTTATCCAAAATATCGATCTCTGCAATTCTCTCTCTCTCTTTCTCCCCTTTGGCACCGTCGCCCCGATCGCTCGTTGCACGCACCAACGCTTCTCCCTCCGTGCAGCGTGCGGCATGCAACAGGTATCCGCGCGCTGACGTCAGGATGAAGCGAGAGGGAGATACGCGACGCCCCGCCGACAAAGACGGGGTGATCGGGTCGGAGACGTACCGGGCGGACGGAGGAAGTGCAGGCCGAGAGAAGGAAAGAGAAGGAGCGAACCTCGCACACAGCGGGAGGACGCACGGAGGATCACACGCACATGCGAGACTCTCGGCCCCCGTGCACTGCAGCGCACACGAGTCGGAGAGCGTCGGACTGCATCCGTCGTCGTCTCTTCCCGTCCCGCGATTGTCCTCCCCTTCGTCCCTCGTCGCCGCCCTGGTTGGCCGACGACGAGCTCCGGGCTTAACTCGAACCGAGTTGTGTCACCGCGCCGCGCCGCGTTACGAGGCTGTTATTCAACGCGCGCGCGAAAATATGCGACAGGCAGCGACGTATGCGTCGACGACGGTGCATATGCTTATTAGGCGGCGGCTGATCGATCCGGAAATTCGAACCGAAAACTGAGAACCGGCCGTCGAAATTTTTACGCCACGGAGTCGAGATATACCGGCAGGAATTCGTATATAGCTGTTACACTTGAACGAGATTTATTACATAATTTGTTTTATAATTTTTTATCATTAATTTCCATTTAAATGACACTTGTCTGACAGCAATCAATCGGTACACTTCTCGCGAATTCTTTGAAATAAGATCGAGATTTGTATCTCAAGAGGTTGCTGACAGTGGCAACGGGCGCGGCAAAGTGCACCCTGAAAATTGCTTTTAAAAAATCGCCGACGAGTAATTTAAAAAATTTGTCCTCACCGCGGCATCACCTTGCACGCGTGCATTTCTTGCGTTGCATACGCGTGCATTTCCGTCGCCGCCGCGCGCGGTTCTCTGTTTACAAATTCCTCCCGGTCTCCGTCCCCGGACATCGTCCGGAGTCAAGCTCGCCGACGATGTGTCCGTTACTGTAATTCCGCGAACTGCTTTAACAACGTCATGAATCACGGAATGACTCCGTGCGCCGTAATGTATGCGCGCAGAAACGAGAGATAACAGGCGCTGCCATTATTTTCGTATGCGATTACTATTCCGGACGTGACGCGGCTGTGCCGTTCGTGTGAGTCGCTTCCAAACGATAGTAATACATATCGATAACGATGTGGAGAGCGGTTGAGGGCGGCTGAATCATGTTAAGGCTGAAAAAAAATTTATACCGAAAGGAATATGACATTTAAATATAAGACAGACTACATCTCTATACATATAGTGATTGAAATCGATTCAGTCGCAGTAGAAGCGAATTTTGAACTTAAAAATAACTCAATGTCATAAAGATTGCTTTTATTATCCATACGCAAGACATTTCATGTTAATCGAGCCGTTTTCTTTGTGAATTCTTGGAATCATATAGTTCATTGAAAAAGTCTTTAAACAAATAAAAAGTCTACCGAGAATTAATCTCGGAAATGTCGCTAAAAGAAACTTACATAATTAATTAATGTCGGCAAGGAAAAGATAGGTAATGTCTCATTGAATATTCATTAGTAAAATGTTGACTGAAATTCGTAACTCAGGCAATTCGTATAAGTATAAATCCTGCAAAAATCGATCCGGCTCGAAAATGCAAGTTTGACGTTTGCCCTATCGTAGTAACAGGCGAGAACAGCGAGGGGGCGGCGCACGGTGCTAACCTCCTCCCTTTCCGGCCTGCGAACGAGCGATGTAAATCTCGGAGCATAAGTTTAACAGTGCGTTCGCGTGAGAGCGACGATCTCGGGTGCATATCGGCGTCGAGAGTAGGACGCCGGCGGCGGCGGCGGCGACTCCTTCGGAACAAAGCACGTTTCGCGTGCAAGTACATGACGCGCGTATATAGAATAGAGTACGCGTATGTACAGTAAGCGCAGCAGACCGTCCCGTCTCGTCGCGGCTCAGACCTTAATGACGTCATTATCTCTAATTAGAATTCCCATAGTGGTAAGCGCCACGCGGGGGACGCCCCGTTACACCTGGGGACTCCTCGCGATACCTCGCGGATGATATCGATGTTTCGCTACACCTCCAAGTGTGTATCCTTGCGTGCCCGATACTCTTCACTTCCGGCTAAAGCCAGACACACGCCCGATCTCTCGCCCTCTCCTCGAAACGCTGAGTAATCAGATAATTCTGAACACGGCGTGCATATATTATCGCGCGCAGTGCGCGCCAGTGTCCATTATCAATTTCTTTTTTATTTCGATAGTTGCGAAAATATCGTTGCTTGATTATCATAAGCCAATATTGCGCAGTATCGTCACTTTCGGAGTACATATGGCCTTCCGTCATCTTTATTTTCGTTCGACGTGCAGCCGTTATAAAACTTTGACGGACGTCAATTTAGCATTTATATATATTATCGAGAGTTTGAGGAGAGTTGAAATACACGTATATCGATCACTTAGCGCGAGCTCTTTCTCCTTCTCTCGCTTCCCCTCTTGTCTTTCTATCCGTCGTTAGATTATAGATCGTGTAAAACGAACCGCCGAGCATAGTCCACGCGTGATAGCACGCCGGTAACGAGAATTGTGTATAGGATAAACTGCGGATGAGCAATCTGGCTGTAACCAATCGCCTATGTGCGTCGCACGCTCGCAGTTACATCATCAAAAACGCCGTTCTCTCTCTATCCGTCTATCTTTTTCTCTCTCTCTCTCTCTCTTTCTCTCTCTTTCTCTTTCTTTCTCTTCTTTTCTCCTTCTGCAGGATGTAATGTTAGAAGTGGATCATCGCGCAAAATATTCCTCTCCTTCGTGCTCTTCACTCTCTCGTCATGCGCGCAAAAATTCGTCCACGAGTCGCCGCCGCTGCCGTCGTCGTCGTCGTCGTCGCGAAGGTCGCGCGGAAATTGATTTCGGTCGCGTTCCTCAGTTCTCTCTCGTTCCACTAATTCGATCCATCCGATCCGATAACGGGTGTCGCAAGAGGGAAAAAACGCAGACTGCCGGTTAAAGTCGGGCGTGCACGCAAGGAAAACCAGTAGCCGGTGTCGGGTATCCGCATAGTCTGCAGCGAATCGAATATCTCAGAGTATATCGCGACGCGTAATAACCCTAAACTTGAAATGCCAAGGGATTCGCCAAATTAAAATCAGATCAATAAAATTCTCAGACTCGTATTAAACGTTCAGAATCCTGTGACTCTAATTTTTCCTAATGCAATTTTTATGCTTGAATAGGATTCCCACATAATTACATTAAATAACATTAAATATAGTAATATTAAATTGTAAATGTAATAATTTCGCAACTTAATTTATTAATTTATTAAATCAAACAATGTAAGAGAAAATTGCAGATTTAGCGATCAAATATTTAAAAAACTGATGTATATTTTATACATTTATTAAAACTGCCAGGATTGAGATTAAATCGATAAATGTATATGAAAGTGGCAGAAATTATTTTTGCTGCCTCATCTAGATCGTTTACAGAAAAACAGCTCGTACTTACGCATCGAGTAATAATTGACCGCGCATAGGCGCATCTCGATGCCGCCGGCGCGATATTTGCTCGCTTGGGTTTTTCACGGAACCGCGGATGACCGACGTAACGACGCGGCGCGGGTCTCTTTTTATTATTCTCCGTATCGCCGTTCCCGGGGTCGTCTGTCGTTGGCGTCGTTTCTCCGCCAACGTCACGCGACAACTATGTGCGCGACACACCATTCTCGGAGAGACGTGCGACCGGGATTGCAAAATGCCTTACGCTCGTAGTTTGCTGGCTGTGCGGCCGACGCGACGCGACGCCGCGGCATATCCTACATCGACGGGCGAAATGTGCGTAGTTTCGCCGTTGCGCGTCAGTTTTTTTTCGAGCGATTCGATCATTTGGGTATCGTCAGGGATATCTAATCTAACTCTTATGGTTTCTTCGAAAATATTAAGATTACCATGTATCTCTCAGTCTTTCTTTCTCGCTTACTGTGAAACAAACTGAGCAAAGTAATAATTTCTTTTACATTCAAGACGTTTAATCTCTGAGAGCATACTTAAGTTATTTAAATTTTTTAAGTTAAATTTAAAAATTTCTGTCTATATATTTAATTTTTTTTATATATACACGTTTTATTATAATTAAATAGATTTAATGTCTCTTTTAATTTTCTACAGAGTCGAGAAGCCCCTGAGGATAAGTCTCTCGCGGATACTCTAACCAGGACCAAAGAACTATTCCATGAAGGTAACAGTTTCTAATATTCTGATCGCTCCACTAATCTCGAGGTGCTAGACCTCGAAACGAGATATACGAAAGGCAGTCGCCACATCTTCGCGAAAGAGTGCAATGTGGGTCGCGTAGGACGTGGCGAGATGCTGCTAAACATGACCATACACGTCGGAAATATCTCGCGCTAGCTCCACTCGCCCCGTAATATTCCTCTTAACCTTCTTCTTGCGGATATTTCATCTCGAGATCTTTCGTCACTGTCGTCGTTATCCATGCTTTCGTGATCTTGTTCGCTCCTGCTTTGAATTATAACTACTTCAGTTCTCGTGATGTCGAGTCATTTGACGCCTCTCGAAAGCAATCTATGATCGATATCGCAGGATGAATCATCTCTGGAACGCAAATAAGGAATAAAAAATTTTATTATTTTTTCTCCTTCGTTAATTCCACGTGTGATGTTTGTCTTAATGGGATCTTAATAACACTTAACTGCAAGGATGCTTAATATATCGTAGATTCAAGATTCTTCTTCAAGAGAATGGATAGAGCGTCGAGCTTTTGTATCATAAAAGACTCTAAATTCCGTCCGAAATATCTAAGTATGTAATTGCGCGGCTTCGGAGTGTATATACTCCCTACGCTTAATCCGCAATGTGCGTCGCGACGAACAGAGGGTTCGTCACGGCGCGGCGCCGCGAGTTGAGCACCGCTGGCATGCTTAGACGCCGCCGCCGCCGCCGCCGCCGTCGCGGTTGGATCTTTAAACTTTAAAAGCCAACGCGCGCCGCGCCGACCGCTATTGACGGCTGGACCAGGGCCCCCCTCTCGCTCTTTCCCACCTCGTTCCGTACCCCTCAGCCCCACCTCGACAACGTGAGAAGGCCCTTTCGAATTTTCTCCCCACTACTTTCTCCACCTCCACCTTTCTCGTTCTCTTTCCGTCTCCGTCGGCCTCTTTCTCCCTGTTCGCGGGCACTACACAGCGAGGCCTACCACCGAGTGGCTGCTTCCACCGCGATTATGCAAAACAATTATTGTGGAATGCGGTCAGCTGTTCCCAGACGCACGCTGACGTCACGCGCGTGCTCTCTCACCCGGGCACGTGCTCCCGCGTCTCCCTAGAAAAGAGCACACCCGCCGCAAAAATGCACGCCCGATATCCGCTCTCTTAATTGTCCCTTTGTTCCCCGCGCTTTACTTGACACAGCTTCGAATTGGATCGGCGATCTTTTCCTATAAACCTATATTGCCCATCGCGCCACTATCGCGTAACACGGGTACGTAAGAAGAGAGCTTTGACCTAGTTTTGTATTGAAATATCTTCGGGCGGAAAATGCTATTTTAAATTATTTTATTAATCTTACGTGACGTGACATTCCAATGTAACATGCGAAAATAATGTGATATTGATGTCCCCTGATATAATATCTATGATATACGATAATTCGATATTGAATAACTCAATTCCAGTGTAATACATCAAGATATATTGAGAGATATCTTTATGCGAGATATCTATCTGTGCGTTAGATATATGAATAATACAGTTATCTTTTTACTTATTATTTTAATCAAAGGAAGTAAAAAAAATGTAGCATTTTTAACATGTCTCCGCGTTGATTTAGATAGCGAAATATCACACATCGTTTTTCTTCCGCATAATATTTATTAATCGTCAATAGCATGCCAAGAGAAACGAAATGTTTAATTGTTTCACGATTCAGTCACGTGCGTTGCTCGAGTTTACATAAGATAAGGAATATTTAATATGTTCTGTTGCTAGAGTCGCGTTAGTCGGTTCCAATAATCTGACAGCGTTGCGCCAAGCGCTGTATTACAAATCGTAATATATTGTATCTTCTAACTCAATTTCAACAAGATCGAATATGTAAAGCGTTCTCATTGTCAGTACAGCTAGGAAAGAGTAAAAGAAGAATTCATTTTCAAAATTCATAAAACCTACAAGTGTAACACAGTGATCCGCACTGCTCCTTCTCACCTTCAATAAACGAAAATATGTATAAAGTAAACCTACGAAAGTAACACTAATTCTCTGAATTTTTTTTCAGATAATGAGTTCATAGAAACTAATGCATTTTAATGTTTTGCAAATGTCTTGTTCTATTTGTCCCATTTTTGACATTTATCAAAAAAATTTCTTTTTCTCTTTCCTGAAGTATGATTGATATCACGCAACACGTCATCAGATGCTATATCATGAGACACGGTCGTGTCTCGACGCTAAATAATATAAATTACCCGAAGCGAACTTTGAAAGTCAGAATATGCCTCCGCTGTAATGCCGTCGCTTTATTCGCGGTACTTCCATTTTTTTTTATTTGCGTACCGCGCGTCTCGGGGCACGCCTCGGCCTTGAAGCCTGGGATACACGTGCCGAAATTACGCCGACTACGTATATTTTCGCTCGCGCGCAAAAAAAAAAAAAAACAGGCAATTCGTTAATTTACGGCCTCAAATGCCCCGTTGACGATTCCTTGTTCCTCGCAATCGGTTTCTTAATCTCTGTGTAAACACGCCGTTTATACGAAACCGCAATCGATACTGGACCTTAATGCTCTCTCTGCGAAAATATTTGACTTATAAAATAGACTAGACGCGAAAAGAAGTAAGCTCGGTACTTTGTGCGACTTGTGGGCTTTATTACATTTCAAATGTCGGGCAACAATAAGACAGAATAGAAGTGCCTCTGAGCAACAGAAATGTTAGCAATTGTTTCCATTCATCGCTCGCACATTGGATATCTTCCGTGGTGCTCAAACGACGATTAGATACGGCTATTAATTATTATTCAAACACTTGTGCGTCACACACTCCGTAACAAAGTTTTATTTTATTATCACGCAAAATATGCATGGACGCGTTAGCGACAGAATTTTGCAAAATCTTATCAAGAACAGTTTGTAGTAAAAAGAATCAATCACTCGAGATAGATGTAACGTACAATTGATCTGAATCAATTGTATTTAGGGATTCCAGAGATGTGCATATTTCATCATGATTTATTTATTGTCAGTGCTACAAAAAACCGAAATAACTTTTGCTTAATGTCGACCAAAATAAATTGAGCACGCTTTGCGGAATATCTTTGGTAGTCGCACAACCTCTTCATGTTGATAATGGTTAATAATAAAAAATAAAAATAGCATTATAATCTCGCTTTATTTTAATACGAGCGATAGTAACGATTTTTTAGCCGATACAGGAAATGATTTCAAAGTGGCTTAAAACAAAAAAAACGCGACTAAGAATATTTCTTATTAAATTGCGTATAGTTTTTCATATCCATAATCGCAAATATACTACGCATTGCGCAAAACGGCCAGACGGAGTACCTCTAAAGTCATGTCGAAAGCATCATCGGTTTGACCCGATTTTCATCCAGTAATTTAAATCCGTTCCATTTCGGAGAGAGATACCACGAAATGTATTCTACATGGCGAAAGGATCTCTCCAAAGAGACGCGCCGTATTTGCGCCGTGAGAACGTCTGCGGTGGATTTCTCGGTCTTCGAGCGCGGAGGGTCTCCGCGATTGGTCGCGAAAACCCGCCTCTATTACGCAGCAGAGCCTCCATCGCTTCAACAGTGGCCTCTCCGATAGTAGAAATACTGGTCGGAGGTGGGTCTTTAAAAAATTAGCGGGGTTCGGTCCGCGCGTGGGTTCGTTCAACTCTTTGTCCGTCTCATTCTCACACGCTCGTGAACGCACGAATATTTTCCCTCCCCTCTCCCACACGCACAAATCTCTCTCTCTCTCTCTCTCTCTCTCTCTCTCTCTCTCTCTCTCTCTCTAGCCCCCTCCCCTATGTATATATGTGTCTCTCCTCTAGTTCGTTCTTCGACGGCTCTGGGCGCGTCCACGTGCGCACGAAACGCTTCGCCGAAGTGAGTCACTATTTTTCTATATCGCTTGTATTTTTTTTTTATTCTTATATTTCGTCGACCGATTAATTTTCTTCTATATGCATATGATTTTTCGATATAAGATTTATTCTCTTGTAAAGTTCCACTTTACTAATGAAAGATCAGGAATTTCATAGCTGAAAACTGTCAACAGAAAGGAAATTCCCCCCTCCCCGTAAAAAAATTAGTATTCTTTTAAAAGGAAATGGCTATAGAACCGCGGATGTTCGCCTAGAAAAGTGCAAAATACATTCGCGCGGGAATGTATGTACCTCGTAATGTGTTTCTTCCTGGAACTGACGGCACGACCGGAAGGTTTCTATTTGAGTCATTGAAATTCGCGCGAAATCCGACACTGCTGCATTTCGGGAAAATCGTCATTCAGTTTGAACGTCCAGCAAGTGTGACTAACGCTCGGTTTCAACAGCAACAGATAGGGACGATTTGCGTGTGTAATAATAAGTTCATTTCCTGTGACCGATAAGAGATAGGGAGCAGATGTGTATTCAACGGAGCAGCCAGCGATTTTATTACGAGAACGAGCTCGAATCGAAGGGAGGCGGTATGCATGCGGGTACGTTCCGCGATTCGCGGGATATACGACGGTGAATTTAACAAATGCGGGGCTCGAAAACTTAAAAACTCAATAATAAGAGAATCGTTGAACTCATAGTGATTTAACAAGAAGACATTTCATTATTAACAGTAACATTTTATTTACAATTTTATTTATGCAATTGCTAAGAGAAATAAATGCAGCAAAACGAATAATAGACGCGAATATGATGCCGAGACAAAAGTGAACAAATTCAAATATCTGTTAATGTCTCACAGGAGTATATTTTTTTTCTTTTTTTTCTTTATTAAATACGAATTCTGCAAAAAATGCGCTTCGAAATTCTACATTGAACGTAGGGAAATCACACGGTCAGGAGCATAAAATACGCATATTGGTGCATAATAGAAATGACAATTCTTAATTCAGATTTATACAATCGTTGCGCGGCCGACGTTGCATTATTGCGGCGGGGAATAGTCTCGGACAGTTATTACTTTCCGGAACACGGACGACGTGGTCGTAACAATACGGTAT